TCGAACTCGCCATTGTCTTCGAGAGCGATGCGTAAATTAAAGAATTGCACACGCGCGATTACGATAGACGTCGTCGAGTGTCGTTGCCGTCATCCAGTCAGCGTTCCCGAGACATTCAGGACTAATCCGTTTGCATGTGCGAGATTAGTAATTATTTTTAAGAGATTGAGAGATTGAAAAATTGCGTGAAAGAAAGAGAGAGAAAGAGAGAGAGAGAGAGAGAGAGATCGTGTGTGATTGAAGTAGGTTTGGTATCCATTTGGTTATCAGACTGAGTGAGTCGCTGATGTTTGCCTTTTTCTACACTCGGCGGATGTTATACATTTGCATTCTTAAGTCTGCTTTGCAATTTCCTTTATTTCTATTTTTTATCTTTTGTATACGATTTTCAAACGTCGAGGCCTACATTTTCGCAGATTCAACTTAAGTTTGTACAATTTGCACACGATCAAGGCATGCACAACATTAAATCGAGCTTATTTTTTTAATTTCGACGAGAAGCTCCGACGATCCAGTTCGGAGCCCAATGTAGGAAGACAATGTACGTACGAGATGGCCGAGGTCTTTGCAAGTACAAGGTAAAATATCCCGTTCTTTTTTTTTCTTTTTTCCATTGGTTATTTTTTGTATGTCTGTCTGTTTGTCTGTCTGTGTGTTTGTGTGTGTGTGTGTGTGCGTGTGCGCGCGCGTAAAATATGCATAGGAAACCACTGTCGTCTATTGAAAAGCAAAACTTTGGAAAACAGTACGAGTGAAAAGTTAAAAATTAAACAAGCTAGTCTGTAATAATGTCTTAACACGCATATATAGATAGATGTGCGCACATGCGTCGAAATTATTTAAAATGGTTAAAAAATTATTTATACGTAGGAAATAATGTCATGAAAATGAAACCGGTTTTCCTACCTAAAGTACCAAATGTACGATGATACATTTAGATAAGCCTCAAATTAAATAAATTAAAAGTCTTAATCAGCCGAACCAAGTTTGTTTAAATAATATTATAAGTCATTATCGTTACTCTGCTTGGCATTAATATTAAATGTGTTGAACACTGTTATTCTAATGTACATTTCAAATATTCTCCTCTCGGCGTAATATGAATTTTGCACTATTGCTCGTGTTACATTAATTCATAATGTAATACAAGATAATTTAACGATTGTCTCGCTACTGCACATTTGCATCGATGTAGCGCTGCCAACCTTTTAACTTACAGTTGCGTCGATGTAGCAGGGTAATGAGAGATGAATCGCGACGCTAGGCGAATGTTTGAAAAACTCTTTGACTCGTTATCGCACGCTCTAATAGCATTATCGGGACAAAACAATATTTTGACATAGCGATTTGCTCTCCGCAACAATGGGTGGAGCAATTTACTCAAAGAAACCGCAAAACAATTTGTTATTGAAAAGCGCGATTAAAATCGCTCGGCAATTGCACTATATCCTTTAAGTGCCGTAGACTTTGGGGAAAATGAAAAATAATGAGAGACGGCAAAAGCAAGCATATTGCTTAGTTTTTCATAGAAAATGATGGACGAGTCTCCTACCCAGGATAACGAACGCTCAACCATAAATAGTGAGAAAATCATCCACTCCCGGATTCGAGTAGGAAAAGAAAAATACGCATTGGCGCACTAGTCGCCCTCATTATTGATCTACTGCGCCGATTCGCATGGACGCAGACAAATGCAGACAAAACAAGAGCATCTCGTTGGGCTTCATTAGCATCGTGCATACGTTGTCCTCCTGAGGATCGGCGATGATTCAATATCGCCTATTCTTCTTCTCTTTCTCTCATTCAATCTTTTTCTTTACATTTTTTTTTTTTTTTTTTTTTCAAGCGCACCAAGATCAACCGAACGGCTCTGCGAGATGCGAGTTTTTGTATAAACAAGCGAATGGCACGTCCGTTTCCTCTGCCTTTTCTCTCGCTTTGTGCGGGGTGGCTGGCGCGTTGCTCATTATCCCCCCTCTCCCTCTCTCTCCTTTCATTGGAAACGCTTTCCGCCTGGAGAGCACACGTTGCATTCTTCGAGACAAACACAGCGTTCGCGTATAGGATAACTTGTGGTTTGTAATTCTAATGTTGCCTCCGTTGACACCTCGGACGTTGTCATTTATTCGACTCGTTTTGACAAAAACAAAAAAAAACAAAACAAAATAAAAACAAAATAAAGAGAGGAAATAAGGATTTCATTTAAAGAAACTGCTTCTCCACTTTCCGCTACAATCTTCTCTAATTTTGAATACACCTTAAGAAAGGAAGGAAGAAGAATGGTTAGACGATCGAGCATCTCCCGCTCATTATCGCATGATAATGGCAGGATAAATAGCTGCAATTATTTCTACGAGATCCGTGCTCGGCCAAGCCTACATGTTCTAGAGTATGACGTACGGCTGCAGTGAGATAGAT